GTGATTCCCAATCCCTAATGCTGTGCACCTGTGTCCTCCCCAAATAGTAGGCTGTACCCTGAAATTGGCTGAGTCCCCGCCTATGCCCAGGTCAATTCAGTAGTATCACAGCACCTTCATATACAAATATTAAAATACATCAAATTGGCTGCAACACACCGGCTCTTAATTGTTACTGTATAATAACATAACAATTCAACAACATACAAAACATTGCAGCCAAATAGAATAGTCCATATCAGTATTCTCAATCCATAATGTTCATTGTTCATGTAGATAATCCAATAGGGTTGGTAACCCCAATAATAGAAGTTGGGTTTCAGTCTTTATTCAGCTTCCAATAGAAGACAGATCTTCGTGATTGGTCGCTCCAGGATGTTGTACTTCGTCCGGACTTTAACCGACTGCACAAGTCTGTCGGGAAAGGTCTGCAGTACCTTGCCCAACAGCCAGGATCCGCGAGGGGCACTAGAGTCCGCTACGATGACAATGTCTCCTGTGACAAAGTTCCTCTTGTCCTTTGGCCACCGTTGTCTCTCTTGCAACAGTGGTACATACTCCTGAATCCATCTGTGCCAAAAGAGATTGGCAAGGAATTGAACTTGCCTCCATCGTCGTTTGGAGTAGGAGTCATTTTTGTCAAAAAGCCCGGGTGGTAGAGAAGGTTTGCCTTTTAACAAGAGAATGTGATTTGGAGTCAGGGGTTTGAGATCATTTGGATCCTCTGAGGTTTTTGTAATGGGACGGTCATTCAATATGGCTTCCACTTCGCACAGGAGTGTTTGTAGTCCTTCATCATCCAAATGTTGCTGATGAAGGATAGAGTTCAGCACTTTCCTGACCATGCGAATGACTCTTTCCCATACTCCTCCATGATGGGATGCGGCCGGAGTGTTGAAACTCCATTTCACTCCAGAATGAAGCAGTGAGTTTTGAATTTTCTGATGGTTCAAATGAGATAGAGCTTCTCTCAGCTCACGTTCTGCTCCAACAAAGTTGGTTCCGTTGTCTGATTTGATGTGTGATACTTGGCCTCGCCTGGAAATGAATCTGCGTATTGCATTTATTCAAGAACTGGTGTCCAATGAATAGGCCACTTCCAGATGGACTGCCCGACTGGCCATGCAGGTGAAGATAACTCCATAGCGTTTGATGAGGCTGCGTCCTCTCTTCACTTCAAACGGCCCAAAATAGTCAATGCCCACATTTGTGAATGGTGGAAGATCAGATTGCAGTCTTTCTTTTGGCAAATCTGCCATCTTTTGTTCACCCAGCTTTCCCCTATATCATCTGCAGACAACACAGGAAGAGAGGATCTTTCTAGCAGCAGCATTTGCTCTGGTGATCCAGTATTGTCGACGAAGTCTGGAAGTAGGTGATTTCTTCCACAGTGTCCTAACTGTTCATGAATGTGGCGTAAGATTAGAGTGGCGATATGTTGGTCCTTAGCAAGAATGACTGGATGTTTTGTGTCTTCAGGCATTGCTCCTTTGCTAAGCCTACCTCCCACTCTCAAGATTCCTTGTTTCAGCACCGGATCAAGTTTATAAATGTGACTGCTTTTCTTCACTGCAGATGTTCCCTTTTTCAAAGCAGTGATTTCATCACTAAACTTGTCCATTTGGCAGTACTGAATGATGGCACTTTCTGCCGCGTCAATATCTTCAGGAAATAAGACGTGACCACCCATTGTGGCTCTGAATCTTTTCATGTCCTCTTCCTCTTTGTTCTTTTGTTGAGTTGGGTCAAGTCCACTGCTGGACAGAGAAGCTTGTATTTATTTTCTCTTTTGACTCAACTGCAACGTCTTTCTCAGCTGGAGAAACCACGCAACTGAGATCTTAAGCCTTTTCCACGAGGAGAAGTGGGTTATCAGTTGATTTACTGCATTCTGTGGGTCTTCATCAGAGATGTTATTTGTTGCATTTGGTGCATCATTAATGATGACAGTATTAACTGAAACTTCTCCTCTAACCTCTGGGTCATCACTGCTGATGGAAGTTGAATCCAAGATGTTAAGAGGCCATTCCTCTTCACTCTTGGAAAGAAACTCTGGGCCATGGATCCATCTGCTGCAAGTGAGAAGGTGTTCAACTTTCACCCCACGAGAGGCCTCATCAGCTGGGTTCCGTTTTGTGTCAACGTACCTCCATTGTGAGATGTCTGTGGCTTCTCTTATAGCAGAGACCCTATTGGCAACAAAGGTGTGAAAGCGCTTTGTTTCGTTCCTGATGTACTTTAACACTGTTGTGCTGTCTGTCCAGAAGATTGAGTTTTCCAGCTCTAGTTGCAACTCTGCTTTCAGGAGTCTGTCAACTCTCGCTGCCAGCACAGCAGTTCCATCCTTGGGATTGTCACATTCTTTAGAGGAGCAACTCGTGCCTTTCCGAGAACGAAAGTTACATGGATCTTCTCATCATCACTCTGCAGCCTCAAGTATGAAACTGTGCCATAGCAGTTCTCGCTGGTGTCAGAGAAATGATGTAGTTGGGCACTTGTGAGCTGTCCAAATCCTTTGGGTTTAAAACATCTCGGCACACTGAAAGTGCTGAGTCTTGTTAGATCTTCTAGCCACCCCACCCACTGCAACTGGTAGTTTTGAGGAATGTGCTCATCCCAACTGTAGCTCATCTTACAGAGGTTTTGCAGCATTATCTTGACAGGTAAGGTGAAGGGTGCTAAAAATCGAATGGGGTCGTAGACCGAGCTCACCACCGACAGTATACCTCTTCTTGCGAATGGCCTTTATTGGACTGCCATCTTGAACCTAAAGGTGTCAGTTTCTGCGCACCACTGCAGTCCCAGGGTTCTTTCGACAGGAAGGCTGTCTCTGTCGAAATCCAGTTCTTTCACTTCCTTGGCTCTTTTCTCCACATCAATGGCTTCCAACACTGACCTGCTGTTGCTGATCCATTTCAGCAGTTGGAATCCTCCCAACTGGCATAGAGCGGTCAGGTCTGTAACCAAAGACATGGCTTCTGCCTCTGAAGACAAGGATTTCAAGCAATCGTCCACATAAAAGTTATGCTTGATGGTGTCTGTTACATGAACTGGGAAGTCTGCTTTGTGGTCTTCAGCCGTTTTTCTAAGGGCGAAACTGGCACAGCTGGGCGATGATATTGCACCAAACAGATGAACAGTCATTCTGTACTCAGTGAGCGGCTGTGTCAGATCACCTCTTGGCCACCATAGGAAGCGAAGAAAGTCTACATCCTGTTTTGCCACTTGGACTTGATGATACATAGCCATAACTGCTATAGAGTTTAGGCGAAACCTTTTGAAAACTCAGAGCAAGGAATTTGTCAAGTCAGGTCCCTGGAGTAGTTTAGTGTTGAGTGACACACCTTTGTAGCTTGCCGCACAGTCAAATACCACTCTTTTTTCTTTTTAGGATGGTACACCCCATGATGCGGGATGTACCACACCTTTCCTTCTTTTCCTTTCACCTGATGCTCTGGCACACTCTCTGCATGGCCGTTGTTTATGACATCAAGAAAGTTGGTGTATTCCTCTTTGAATGTTGGATTTCCCTCCAATTTCCTTTTTAGGCAGAGGACCCTTTGCTCAGCAAGATGGCGGTTGTTGGGCATGACAACATTGTCCTCTTCTCTAAAAGGCAACTTCAAGCAGTAATGTCCATTGTTGAGTTCAGCTGAAGTGTTGGCAATTTGCATGAACTTAAGATCTTCTATGGACATTTCTGGCTTGTCTTCTGCTGATTTCTCATTGAAGTCATGGTTGTACTGCTTCACCAGCAGTTCCTCTATGTGAGCAATGGATATGCGGTTGGCTGTGACTGTGGGGCAGCTACTCCCACTCTCATTGCCTCCTCTCAATGGTCCGTTGACAACCCATCCCAATAGGGTTCTAACAGCGTAAGGTCCTTTACCCCTGCTGTTTATCACTTCCCATGGCTCCATTACTTCTGGAGAGTTAGTTCCAATTAACAGCTCCACATCAGCAGTCGAAGGCACCAGACTCAAGGATCGACTCCTTCCTGATCAAAGGGACTTCTGGTCTCCAATTGGAGGCGTAGGTTCAAATCCCACTCCCAAATGTATATAGGGAGGGTTAAGAGAGATTATAATCATACATCATATATTTCCCAATATATGTTATTTGATGATGGTCAGTGTTGATTTGGATTTTGGAGGTTGAATGAAGAGAATGGGACCTTAAATCCTTGAGTTGTCAAAGTAAAATGCACGGTTGAAAGTTATTCAAATACATTTAGTGAGGAGTGGGATTTGAACCCAGGCCTCCAATCAGAGACCAGAAGTCCCTTTGATCAGGAAGGAGTCGATCCTTGAGTCTGGCGCCTTAGACCACTCGGCCATCCTGACTACTTTTGGTCGTTTTCTGAATATATTGAAACAATGAATTGGGTTTTACCGCCATAGCAGACATAAACGTCCATCCATTTGAACCAATGACCTGCTCCAGTTCAAAATGAGACCAAACATCGCTTTGGATTACAGTTTCTGAGGCTTGTTTTTAGCCTAGACTATTCACAACATGTATTTTTCCTACCACCAAAACAAGGAAAGTAAGAATCTAGCAGTTACATAAGGGTATAAAACATTCAATAAAACAGTTTTTTTGTCAACTTTTTCATCACCACAACCATTGGAGGATATTGTTGAGGTAAACAGTCATAAATGAGAAGGACAAATATAAGTTTGCTGGTTTTAATAGAATTCAAGATACCGACAAACAGACACATTATCTTCACTCAGGATAAAAACACGCAGAGAAAACAATACACACACACACACACACACACACACACACACACACACACACACACACACACACACTCAGAGTGCGAGTGCCACCGTGTGTCAGTCATGTTGTACTGATGAACTCATTAAGTGTTTAAATGACTTATAAGTGACTGATCAATCTGCCTGACAGACTGTCTGTTCATCTGACCGGATAATTATCTGTGTGTGTGTGTGTGTGTGTGTGTGTGTGTGTGTGTGTGTGTGTGTGTGTGTGTGTGTGTTTGCAGAGTTCACTGGTTGTCTGAGTGAGCTGTTAAACACGGTGTTGGAATGAGCAGGCGGAGGTGCTGCAGAGGTCAGTGAATTATCCCTTTAAGAGATAAACATCAAATATATAATGATCCTGTTTATCTCTACCTGCTCTGATCCACTGTCACACACACCTTCAGTGGTAATATCTTCACTTCCTCCACAGTGTTAATGTATGGAAACATCCTCTCAGTGAAATTGTGTGTGAAGGTGTGTATGAGTGTGTTAGTGTCAGGATCAGAGAACGACAACGCTCCTCTGTTCCAGTCCAGATTCACTCTGACCCTCTGGAGGTCCTTCAGGCTGAGAGGAGTGTCTGGTTCTGATGGCGACCATGCATAGTATTTACCTTTATAGAAACCTATCATCCATAATCCAGACCGTATGATTCCCTTCCTCGGGACAGACTCTGCTGACACACCCAGTAACCAGTGTGTACTGTCTGTAACCTGGATATCCCAGCTGTGAGTCCCAGAGTTAAAGCCCTCAGAGCCCAGGACAGAGAGGTTATGATGAAACCTCTCTGGATTATCAGGAAGTTTCTGTCTCTCTCCTCGTCTCACACTGGTCAGATCTTCAGACAGGATGAGTTCTAGATGAGCAGTGTTTGGGTCAAGGATGAGAGGAGAGTAGGACACCATGTCCTTCATCTTGCTCCAGATGTTGGAGCTGAGGTTGCCCAGGTGTTTGGCCTGGTCTATCAGAGCTCCTGAGGGCAGCTGTGGAGCCTCCAGCAGGGGGCGCTGCAGCCTCTCCACTGCAGCCTTGTAGTTGTGCAGGAAGGAGACGTCTTGAGCTCTCAGCTCCTCCTCTGTGGCTCTGACTGTGTGTGAAAGAGCTGCTATCTCTCTGCTCACAGCCTCCATCTCCTCCTCCATCACCCTCCTCTTCTGCTCCTCTTCCTCCCTCAGTGCAGCCATCCTGGCCTCCTCTTCCTCTTCTAGAAACTGGTGAAGCTTCTTGAACTGCTCCTTAATCTGCGTCTCTGTGTGTTGAGCCTGGACCTTCATGTGTCCTGCTGTTTGATCAAACTTCACTTTAACTTCTTCAAAGAGCTTCAGTTTCTCCTGAAAGGGCTGCAGAGCTTTCTGGAGCTCCTTCTTGAGATCCTGAGCAGCTTCATCCATGGGTCTGAATCTGTGGTTGGTGTGTGTTCTTGAGTCTCTGCAGACGAGACACACTGGCTGCAGATGGTCCAGACAGAAGAGTCTGAGTCTCTCAGAGTGCAGACTGCAGAGAGCCTCTGAAGGTCTCTGACCTCTCTCCAGTAAGAAGGTCTCACACAGGTTCTTTAAAGCCAGGTTACAGGGGGGTTCAACTTTTGAAGATCTTCTCTTACAGACTGGACACTCCTTTGCTTCTTTCCCCGTCCACCAGGTCTGCAGACAGGCTTTACAGAAGCTGTGGCTACAGGACAGAACAACAGGATCTCTAAAGACGTCCTGACAGACCGGACAGCAGAGATCTTCCTCTAACCTGGAAGCCATGTTGTCTCTGAGTGAAGCTGAAACACAGCAGACAGGAAGTGCAGTCAGTCACGGCTCCCCTCCCCCTCCTCTACTGACTGAAATTCACTGTGAGTGTTGTTTGGAGACTCACCTTCAGCGTGGGGAGGGTCCGCAGGTTGAAGCAGCAGTGTTGCAGTTTCCACTTTTCTCTCCTGTAGCTGAACTCAGAGGAAATTGTTAGTTTGGTCTGAAGGTGAATGTGATCGTCTGTTTTTCAGTCCGTCTGTCTTTCTGCAGTGAGGAAGAGGAACAAACTGTTTCCTGGTTTGTCTCAGTGAGTCAGTGAGGGAGGAGCTCTGTCACGCCTCCTCTGCTGAACTCTGTCTCCTCTCATGTGACTCAGGGTGTGTCTCATCATTGCTGCATTGAAGTTGTAGAGGAGGAGTCAAACTATAAACTCATGTTTAATTGGAGAGGGAAACAAGTCTGTCTCTTGGTGCGTACAGAGATTGGATGGCCCTGAGAAGAGACCCAGAAGTGTAATGTAACTAAGTACATGTACTCAAGTACGGTACTTAAGTACAATGTTGAGGTACTTGTACTTTACTTGAGTATTTCCATTGTATGCTACTGTGTACTTCTACTCCTCTACAGTTCAGAGGTAAATGGTGTACTTTTCCTCCACTACATGTATTTAACACCTTTAGTTACTTCACAGATCTGGATGAATGATGTGAAATATAATAAACTCTTAAATCAGACTTTAGTTCCACCTGGAGTAAATTCATAATGAATTACTTTACTAATACAAACTGTGGGGGAAACTTCTGAAGCAAGTGGAGTCAGGACTCAGAGAGACACGAGGAGAGCTGGAGCTTTGATGGCAAACACTGACGGTTTATTCGGAGCTTCGGCCGGAGAATTCACAAGACATGTCACGGGCCACGAGTAGACCACAGAGATGCCACAATCAATTCTGAAGAGCCCTCCTGTAGCTCCAGGTTTGAACTAGTTCTGAGAGAATACTCAACATTCTTCAATAGAGAGACTAAACAGCTGAGGACACTGAATCACAGTTGTTGTCGCTTATGGCTCGGGGTCATCTCCACCCCGAGAAGGATGTGTTCCAGGTGTCCCACAGCAATAACTATCTCTGACCGAGAGCTGCCCGGTCATAAACTGGTAACAACAACAACAACTTGCTAGGGCAGCCCCTCCTTAAGGGAGATAACGGCTGCTCAAGGCTGGTCAGTAAGATAAACATGTAGGGCGAAATTGACACTAAGGAATATAAATGAAGCTTTGTTAAATAAAGGGTACATTTTATTTTTGATATTGTCTGTTAATATTTGTGTTGTTTTATCAGAAATATGACTTCAATCTCCGACAAAACAACAAAAATGGATAGATGATAATAATCATAATAATAATTATTATAATAATTATTATAATAATTTGAAATGATTGAGTTTCCATGAGTTTTGAGATTACAATTTGGTGACTATAAATGAGTTTCTGGGAGATATCTGGGAGTTTCTTGGGAGGTGTGTGTGTGTGTGTGTGTGTGTGTGTGTGTGTGTGTGTGTGTGTGTGTGTGTGTGTGTGTGTGTGTGTGTGTGTGTGTGTGTTTGTGTGTGTGTGTTTACACTGTTTTCTCAAACAAAGCCCATGCAGTCTTGTCACACAAGCTCACGTACAAACTCTCTGATGTGTTTCAGACTGAAGCCAGTCAATACACATTATTTAGACGTGGGTCGCCACACACACACACACACATTATCAATCTACCTGCTCTTTGTTTTACAGCCCTCTGCAGGAACCGTATTTTGAACACACACACAGTCTGTGATGAACAGGCTCACCAGGCGAGACCCTGAATATTTGTGGTAAAACTGCAGACATTTCCAATATCTGGCTTTCTTAAATGTCTGCAAACCATCTGTATGGTTAGAGAAACAATGTGTTATTGGCAGTGATTGATGTGTGATGGCTCTTAGGATGGCAATAACGGTCGCTCCACCACTTTGTTTTAGACAGAAATATCTAAAATGACTGTTAGCTTGTGGGTTGCAGCATAGCTGAGTGTCTGTTTTTAAATGGCAGCAAATCCTGGCTTTTTGATTTCATGGACTTTAATTGAATATTTGGGACAAGACTGATTCTCAGGAGTGGGATTTGAACCCGATTCAATTGGGTTCAAATCTGTTTCTTGGATAAACTAGACATGCTTTATAATAGGCAGGTTTAAGACACTAAATAATCACATTTCATTTCTCCTTTGGTACAGACTGATGTGTATCTTAGATTACTTAAAGTGGACCTATCATGCTATATTTGAAATATATATTGTAGGGCCATACCTATATAAAACATGTCTGTGAAGTTTTTTTTTTCAAAATACCAAACAGATCATGCATTTTTATGGAAGCAAACAAGAGACAGAAGTATTCGAATTGTATTAGACACCGAATTTATAGCATTGAAAATAATTACTTTGAAAATCATGAATCTGAATTTTTTTTTGCTCCGAATTTATCTATGTGAAATAAAAATGTAAAAATTCAAGTTAAAAAAATTCGAATATTCAAATTCAGATCCCAAAAATTCAAGTGAAAAAAATTCGACGTCAAATATTTTGGTGTTTAAAATTCGATGTCAACAAATTCGGTGTGTAAAATTCGACGTCAAAAATTGCGATGCAGCATCATCCGGGCTACTCAGACAGGATAAGCAATCAAGCCCTAATGCAATCAAACCGACTTCTGGCCTATCAGAGCCAAGCGGCAAACCCCGGGACCGTGCGGTGAAGCCCAATGCTGCAAACTGTAGGCTATGGATGCAGATGGGAGCAGGGGCGGATCTACCGGGGTGGCATGGGGTGGCAACTGCCACCCTAAACAATAGCCTTGCCACCCCAGCTGCCACCCCAGTTGGCATCTTTGTTTTGAAAGAAAAGTTGTGGCTCATCAGACATTTATGAGAGAAAATCTCTAATGTCCGAGTGCAAGTGAATGCAGCACAAGATGCACGTCATGTAACCCCTCCCCCGGTCCTGGCGCGAGAGTGGAAATATGATTGGTGGCGAATTCATTTGAACGGGACGGCGCAAAACGAGAAGCGTTTCGGACCCAAGCACTGAAGGAATGAGGTATTTGCGGTCTACAATGACAGAGAAGAGAATGTCAGTTTGGCTGTACTCAGCATTGAATCAAAACGCACTACAGCTGTTGATCTTAATAAGTTTGTGAGGCGTTTTGCTGAACAAGATGGTAATCGGCGCATTCAGCTGTAATAGACATGCCAACTTGATGCTCTGCTCACGGATGAGTCGATGAGAATAACAAACTGTTAAGATGATGACGTGTATATATGTTTTTCTTTGAGGGGGTCTGCCCCCAAAAAACAGTTTTAAGTCCTGAGAAAGTAAAATAAGACGGTGTGTAAAACTACACTGCCCAGCCAACAGAAAGTAACCACTTTGATTTAACTAGGCCAGTAGGTAAGGACCTTCCACTGGATAATAACTGCAGCGATGTTTTAGCTGAATACACGTTTTCTAACCCTAACTGATGCAGTTAGTCACTTCTTTAATGTTTGTTCTTTCTGATGTAAAGTCAAGGTTGTAACTGTATATCAATAATGATATAATTACTTGTTTTTCAAAATTGAAGGAGGGTGAGCAAGCATCTTGATGAACATTCATCATTAACTCCTCCAAAAAATATAGTTTATTCAATAATAAATGAATATGTGAATCATAACAGTTCTTCACTATATCTGTAAAGCGTCTTTGAGCACCTGTAAAAACGCTAACAAATTAAATCTATTATTATTATTATTATTATTATTATTTATTAACAGTGATTGACAGCTGATAGGAATAATATGATTGTTAATAGTATCATATTCATTCAGACAAACATCGATGAGACAGTTAATTAATGTACTTATTGCAGCAGTCTGTATATATTTGGTACTCCTGCTGGTCTAAGAGTGAGACAAACTAATTCAGTTATTGTTCAGTTAAAATTCATTAAATTACGTCTGCCACCTTATATGTAAGGCTTTACTGATGTGCCACAATAATATCACCTATGTGATTGAGTTAAAATATTAATATTGTGGCTTTCCAAGTTAACATTGATTGTAGGGGTGTAACGGTTCACAAACATTTCGGTTCGGTACGTACCTCGTTTTTAAGTCACGGTTCGGTTCGGTACGTTTTCGGTAAAGCAGAAAAAATTATCACAAAACATTAAATATTTTTAAAAAATTATTATTAAACTGACTAATGTATTCAAATAAATACAAAATATAGTAAAATAAACATTAAGGTGCAGCATTTCGATGAACTGAAATAATCTGTATTTGAACTGTACTGTACCTAAGCAGCCGGCTTGACATTAGGACTTGCTTTTCATTGTATTTTCATGTTGTTTAAAGAAAGATGAACTTGTCCACATTGCTTGCTGAAATGGCAGATCTGCTGGCACTAACAATGTCTCCTGCTGTGGAGAACACCCTCTCTAGGGACAGAGGTAGCAGACACAGCCAGGTAGCGCTTTGCTAACATGGCAACATAAGGATACGTGGCGTTTGTAATAGCTTTGGCTCGGTCTGAACTTTATGCGAGTGGTGGAGGCTTAAATGCTAGTGGGAGTTGGGTTTGCACTTCAGTCTTTTTTCTTTTGGTACCGGTGATATTCATGTTCGGTGATGCCTTTTCAAATGAGTGTGATGTATTGCCAGCCGCGTAACCAATGTTAGTTGAACAATGTCGACAAACAGCTTTGGTTCGGTCCACCTGTCTTTGTCCGTCATCCTTGTACGTAACTGTGAAACCAAAATGTTCCCAAACCGGAGACTTCAATGATGCTGGAGGATTTTCAGCTCAACTTTATCTGCGTTCGCCATTTCGACAGTTCCTCAAATTACTGACTACATTTGAACGCATCCCTCTGACCAGCTCTCATAGTATGCCTCTCGTCCAATGAAATGACTTGGTCGCTCTATGATATATACCTGAGATTACTTCCAGAAAGTTGTTCTCAATTTTTTACGTTTAACGCTATATTCGTTCGGTACACATGTGTACCGAACCGAAGGGCCCGTACCGAATAATTTCAGTACGGGTACGTGTACCGTTACACCCCTAATTGATTGATATGATTGCGATTTCAATCAGCATATACTTCTGTCAGGGGATGCCACCCCTCAAAATCTCCTGCCACCCTCTTGCCACCCCATGAATATTTGTCTAGATCCGCCCCTGGATGGGAGCAATTCCCGTAGACCCTATGTTAAAATGTCCAACTTAACATAAGAAAATGAACATGTTTCTAGCCTGGATCCACAAAAACATATTCTGTATATAGTTAGATTCCCTTCTTGTCTTAAATGATATGATGAATTGGAAATGGGGGACCCTGATGTAAACAAGACGAAAGTCTTTCTCTGGTCTGCATCCCCTTAACAATTGTATGT